TATTCTCATGACTGGATAACCATGACTTGACTCTCACATGACTGGATTATCTTTGTCTGAACTCTTAAAACTATCCCGAGACAACTAAATAGTCGTTTCGAGATTAAAAACATGACTTACTTGACTTGGTAAGGTGCGACTTCAAGTTTCCAGGTAAATTTGGACTAATGGTCTGTATATCAGCCCGCCATATTTGACCCGGTTGAACAACTATTAAACGTCGACCTTACATCATGAACATAAGCTGTAAATCGTGAACATGAATTTATAACTCTGTACTGTATAGGGCTGCTCCAGTATCAACTGGTCCCGCAAGTACAAAGTAATTAGTTGATCTTGATCTTGAAAATCATAACTTTAAATATCATGACTGATAAAATATCTGACATGACTGACTTGAAAGGTTGTTATTACATGAAATCTTACTGATTCGGCCCCAGCTTCAAGCCTCCATGGTAACCCGGACTATTGATTCTTATACATTGGAAACCGTTACCTTAACAATGACTTGAGAATTATAACAACCTTTAACATGAAAATTCTTGCCTTGTACATGTTTTACTGATCTGACTTAAGAAATTTGAGTCTATTCCTCGAATTAAATCAAGGAATTTCTCCCTGAAGTCTGCCAATTGATTGACAAAATGGCAGTTCTTGATAAAAATATCTGAGAAACATGAATATTAAGATTTGTTTAGCACAAGTGCTTACAAATCTTTTGACAATTTGCTAACTTGACTTGAATAAATCTAGAATTGAATCTAGAGTTCTTAAACTTAATCCCTTTCTAAGGTTCTGAATCCACTCGTCCACGATACGGGGGTTTCTCTGCTCGGAGAATTTCTCACATGATAATCGCGGAACTGTGCAACTACTGTGACATGAGTAGGAGCCGAATGATCGGGTTCCCTACGTGGCGGTATCTGAACATTGAAAAAGTTTAACATTACTGAATACATGATAACATTCTGACTAATTACTAAGGCACACAAATCTCTTGACGAGTCGCCAAAATGGCCGATAATTACTGACATGAATCCTGAAGAACTCTAGAGTCATATAGGAAGATCCTAATGTCTAGAGTCATATCTGAATGCCCTGAATTCTAAAGTCATGTCCGAACTCTAAAGTCTGAACCTGATTCGAGCATCTTAACTAAAGTCCTGATCCTTAATTCTGAGCATAGACAAAGTAATATGTTTATAACTGAAAAACTGAATCAACACTTACCTGTCGTCGGCGGGCGTGAGCATGACGGTTTAGGTTTTTTTGAAAAATTACTGACTGAAAAACTTTTCCAGAGACGCAGAAACGTGCTCTGATACCAATTGTAACACCCCTCCTTATCGTAAAATCAGAGTGCGAAAATTTCGCAAAGTTATTTAAAATAAAGCCTTTTACTTTGCGAAAACTGATTCGGGGTGCTACCTTAAAATCGTGACTTAATTTGGAAAACTGTTATTTTAAATTTTTAAGAAAATTATCCGATTACTGAAAGCATAAAGTTTCTCAAAAGTTCGTCAAAAGATAGGTTCGTCAAAATATGAGTACGTCAAAAGTCATCAAAACATCATCAAAAGTCATCAAAACATCATTAGCGGAAGCGTAAGTCATC